TGAAGCGGCCCTATCGGCGTCGTCATGACGACCATGAAGCGGCCCTATCGGCGTCGTCATGACGACCATGAGCAGGAAGCTGCCTCAGTGGTGGAAGCAGAACTTTGGTTACGTCGGTGTTGTCGCTCAGACACGAGGTCTTCTCACGACAAACGGAGCGAAGCTGTTTGTTAGGGTGAATAAAACAATGAGTGGGTTTCATCCTGGACCGATCCGACACCAGAACCTCCTGGTCCACTCTGTTGAAGCCAGCAGCAGCTAGCGCAGCCCGCTGTGTGGGGCGTTCAGGGAACATGGGAACCTGTAGCGTCTGTGGATGAGAACATGTTCAGCAGGTCAGACCAGGTGAGTCCTGATGTGGATCTACGGCTGTGACCCACTGATCCTTTTAGTTTTTTCTGTTTCGACATTTAAAAAACACAAAGAACTTCTGGAACATGACTTTGTTTTCTCGCAGCGGTTCTGTTCCACCAGCAGGTCACAGATTGTTTCACTGCTTCAGTTTCTCCTTCATCACATCGACCAGACTCAGACTTTAACTCTGAAGGTCGGCTGCTTCCTGTGCTCTGACCTTCTGCAGGTGTTTTCCCCAAACATGATTTAATCTGCCTCCAAAACAAACTATAAATAACCCTAAATCCTCCAATCCTTGTTTAGTCTGTTTAGTGATTGTTTGGTGGAAGAATTAACAGCATCCAGCGCCGGGTTCTGCTGCTCAGGTGTGTGATTACCGACCTGTAGGGACCCAAAACCGGAACAAAAAGGCGACACGAGCTGGCAGAGGACAGACACGAGACACAACGAAGAACAGCCGCAGAACAAGAACAACGAGACAAACAGGAATGAAAGGCGACATAAACAGATAGAGAGGAGAGAGTAGGGTCCAAAAGACACAACAACACAAATAAGACAAACAAACAACACAAATAAGACAAACAAACAACACAAACAGGAAGTAAAACGACCTCAAAGTCACAGAAACACAAACCGACACAAGATCACAGAAAGTGTCCCAAAGGACGACAGAAACACACCAACCTGACAGAAAGCAACAAACTAGAACTAAACAGACTCGACATGACACCAGACACCTGACCGGACCGGACCGGACCGAGGTCCAGGACTCTGGAGGACTCACGGCCACTGAGTAGCTCCTCTTGGGGCCCTTCTTGCCGACGGCCACCACCTGCCAGTGCAGCATCCTGGAGTGCGACAGGTCGATGAAGAGCTCGCCGTAGGTCCAGCGGACGTACAGAACCCCGTGAGAGTAGTCCACCGAGGAGATGTGGGGCGCCTCCGGAGCTGCAGGACGAGACGCCGGTTAGTTAACTAGAACTAGAACCAGTGACTAGTTCCTCAGTCTGCTCTGAAACAGGAAGTCCTCCAGAGTCTCCGTCATGGCGCCGTTAGCTAAACACATCCAGGTGAGCGCGTACCTGAGACGAAGCTAACGGTGGAGCTGTCGCAGCAGCTGAGCGGCGGGTCGCCCCACGTCACCATGGAAACACGGAAGTTGTAGTACCAGGCCGGCAGCAGGTCGGTCACCCTCTGAGAGAAAACACACAGTTAGCGTCGCCTCCAGAACCAAACCTGGCGACGGCCGGTAGCAGCGGCGGCGGCGGCGTTACCACGGAGGTGATGACGGAGGCGGTGGCGGCGATCTCGTAGTAGGTGGTCCACTCGGAGGCCAGCGTGACCGGGTTGAAGAAGAAGCTCTGCAGGACGTACTTCCTGAAGGCCACGTGGTACGGACGCTGCCAGCTGAGGATGACCGCCGTCGGGCACAGCGGGTACACCGTCAGGTCGCGCACACCTGTGGGCTCTGAACACACACCTGTCTGAGTCACCTGAAGGCCAAACCACAACAGGAAGCTGCCAGGAGAAGAACGAGCTAATCACCGATGTCGATGATGACGGGCTCCGACGGAGGGCTGATCAGCGGCCCGTTGGTGTGGTAGACCACGACCCGGTACTGAGCACCGGGCGTCAGGTTGCTGATGATGTCACTCGTAGAGTTCTCCTGAGAAGAACACACGAGAAGGAAACACGTTGTGGACGCACAGGTGAGAACAAAAGATGTTAGTACGTATGGTCCAGAAGGTTCAGTCATGTCTCCAGAAGAACTGAAATAAATCTATGAAAGAACCAAACACAGGATGGTTTATGATCAAGATTCAGTGGTTCCATCAGAGAAGATCCAGAGTTCTGGAGTCACTGGAGACTGAACATGGACTTTGTGGTGGATGGACCTACCTCGCTGCAGTAGGTGTTCTCCATCCTCTGGCTCAGGCTCGGCTTCAGGCAGGTGGTAGAAACCACCGACACCAGGCTGCCGTTGTGGTTCTGGACGGGCGGCGCCCAGGAGACGGCGGCGGTGCTGGAGTCCAGCAGTCGGACGCTGACAGACTGAGGACGCTCCCGGAGCTCCTCCAGCAGCTCACCGCCAGGACCTGAAGTCAATCAGAGGAAGAAACTTCAGGAGCTACATCATGACATCTACAGGACGTGACCAGTAAGGTCACAGCTGTAGATCTGGACCCAGAACAGGTTCTGGTGGACGTACTGAGGTAGAAGGTGAAGCCGGTGTCGGCGCTGCTCTCTCGGGCCTCACAGTCTCCGGATGAGCTCAGCGTGGTGACCTGGACTCGGTAGGTCCCCGGCTCCGTTAACTCGGTGAAGAACTCGTGAGTGTTTTCGTCTACGGTCGCAGTTTCTGTCGAGTTTCCTGTAAAACGGAGGAAGTGGACTTTCAGAACAGCCACAGAGACAGATGAAGGGAAGAAGAATCCCGAGTTTATACGACCCGGTGAGTCGGTCCGTCACCCACCGTCCCTGTAGACGTAGACGTTGAAGCCGTCGTGGCTGGTCGGGGGTCTCGGCGGCAGCCAGCGGAGCTCCAGCAGGACGGGCAGCAGCCTGGTGGGCAGGACCGAGGGTTCTGGTTGGAGCCCCATGGCCGAGCCCGGCTCGTTGGAGTCCTCGTACTCCGACACCACGGCGTTCACGAACTCCTCGTCGGCCGCAGACGGCTCCGTCGGGTCCAGCCAGTAGTTCTGAGGCTCCGCCTCCTCCGGCTGGCTGCCGTTAGCGGTGACGCCGGCGCTGCTGCCCGTCAGGTCGTGGGTGGAGTTAAAGGGGCTGGAGGTCACCGCCTCCTCGGACATGTTCTCCTCCTCCGGCTGCACCTCCTCCTCCTCCTCCTCACGCTCCTCCAGCAGAGGGACGTCTCTGGCGTGACGGGACGTTTGGAGGGTCGCCGCCGCCGAAGGAGCCATGTTGGGAGCTTCACCTGCAGCCCTCTGACTCAGGTGGATGATCTTATGGGAGATGTTCAGGGGAGGGAAGGGCACTGTGGAGCAGACAGGTTCACGATTTATTATCCTCATGGGATAAGCTAA